AAAAAAAAAAAAAAAAAAAAGAAATTACCAGGCGTGGTGACGCACACGTGTGGTCGCAGCTACTCCCGAGGCTGATGTGGGAGAATAGCTTGAGCTCGGGAAGTCGAAGCTGCAGTGAGCTGTGACCGCACTCCAGCCTGGGTGACAAAGTCAGACCCCTTCTCAATTAAAAAAAAAAAGTGAGGCAAAAGAAAAATGAACTGTCCACAGCCCCTGAGTGCAGGGTGGACATGTGACTTGCTTCCAATGCACAGAACGAAGGGACCGCAGACAGCCCCTGACACTCCTGAAGCATCCATGTAGTGAGGAACAGAGGCCTCCTGCCAGGCGGGCGGGGGAGGGAGACTTCTCAGGAGATATCCCAGCACCTGTCCAATATTCAGATGCCAGGGCCTCGGCCAATGTCCTGACTGCAACCTGATGAGAGACCCTGAGCCAGAACCACCCAAAATGCCACTTTAATTCTTGAACCACTGAAGCTGTGAAATAGTTGTTTTAAGCTCCTAGATTTTGGAGAAATTTGTTACACAGCAGCAGATAGCTAATACAGTGTCATCAAGGAAGGTGACTGGATGGAGCTGGCCCTGGCATGTTTGGCCGACTTGCTCTGAGGAGGGTCACTGAGGCAGCCTTGAGCTTGACAGGCAGGGCCGTCGTGGCCTGGAAAGCTGGGGTACTTGGTGGGTGGGCGGAGGTGGGCATACACCCTGGGACACCTTGCGGGGTGGTAAATGAGGGGTCCTGTGTGCCCACTGGACAGACTGCTCAGAGTTCTGGGTCAGGAGGACTGAAACCAACCCAGGGCGCTCTCAGCTGGCTGCCAGGCTGGAATGCCAGGCATGGAACCAGCTGAGAACCATGGGCCAAGGACGGGGACCTGGCCACGGCGCACCTGGGTTGTCTTCTGGGACTCCCCCAGACAGCCAGTGGTGTCTGAGCTGCTTGCCCTTCATTACTAGCACCCCGCCCCCACCAGAGTTTCAGCACGCAGCTCCTGCTGGCTGAGTACAAGCCCCAGCCACACCGTGGGAGGAAGAGTTCCAGGTGCCAGCCTGTCCAAGTGACAGATGGTCCCTAGGCCATGGTGGCCCAGAGGTCCTGGCAGAAGGGCCCTGTACCCTGTAGCAAACTATGAGAGGACCATTGGCCACGGCCTGGGGGGGTACAAAGGAGCACAAGGCCGTGGCATGAGGGCGTGGCGGGGATGGCCGACTGCTGGAACGTCACTTGGGTTTCAGGCCGTGACAGTGGATTTCGTGGTCTCAGTTGCTGCAGGTGTCGCTGGCCTTTGCAGCAGCATAGCACTGCTGCCTGAGGTGCCCACACTGTGCCACCTCCCAACCCTGTCTTGGGAAGAGTCCAAGGGATCCTGACTGTGCCACACAGTGCTGGCCCAGGTCGAGATCATGGTTTGGGTTCCTTCCCCTTCCAACCACTGTCATTAGGGAACCCCAGCCCCAGAACCTTCCAGGGCTTGTCCATCTGTCTGTCCCTTGTGGGTGATTGGACTAAGGATGCTTGCTCTGCTCTGACCTGGATCCCTGCTGCTGTCCACCCAGGGGCTGTCCAGGAAGCAGACGTGGGAGGTATATGTCCATGGCTCTCTCTGGAGGTTTGGTGGCCAGCATTTGAGGGTCCGTGTCTTGCTGTGTGGAGAAGACAGCATGGGGATGTAAACAGGCACAGCGTCCCCTGGAAGAGGCCACCTGAACTGGTGGGTGGGGGTGGGGGTGATGGTGAGGGTGATGATGGGTGCTCAGGCCCCTCAGCACCGGAACATGGTGCGGAAATTCTTGCGGAAGCTGTCGTCCAGAAAGGCATAGAGGAAGGGGTTCAGGCACGAGTTGGCGTAGCTGAGGCTGGTGATGACGTAGGACATGCTGATGACCAGCGGGGTCTGGGGCAGGTCTGTGGCCAGGGCCACGATGGAGGCCAGGTGGAAGGGTGTCCAGCAGAGGAGACACACGGTTAGCACGACCAGGACGAGGATGGTCACCTTCCGCCTGGCCTTGCCTAGAGCCTTGGCGCCAGAGCAGAGCTGCACGGCCCTTAGCCTGCGCAGCAGGTCTGTGTAGAGCACACAGATGGTGCACACAGGCACCACGAAGCCCAGGACCACCGTGTAGATGCGGCTGGCATTGGACCAGGCCTGCTCGGGCTGCGGGAAGCTCAGCCCACAGCTTGGCACCTGCAGCTCGTTGCTGTAGACGCCAGCAAAAGAGAAGAAGGGCAGAACCAGGACCGTGACGCCCACCCAGACACACAGGCTGATGACCTTCGCCCCCCGGTAGGTGCGCCAGGGCATGTGGCGGGACCGCACGGTGGCCAGCACCACCAGGTATCGGTCCACGCTCATCACGGCCAGGAAGTAGATGCTGGAGAAGATGTTGTAGTGGTCGACGGCCAGCGTCAGCTTGCAGAGAAGCTCCCCAAATGGCCAGTGCTGTAGCAGGTGCTCTGCGATATTGACGGGCAGCACAAGTGTGAAGAGCCCGTCAGCAATGGCCAGATTCAAGATGAACATGTTGGTCACCGTCTTCATCTTGGGCGCCCTCAGGATGACAAGGATGACGGCCGTGTTGCCAGTCAGCCCCACGGCGCAGATCCCGGAGTACACGGCAGGCAGGAGCACATAGAGGATCGGTAGCGGCTCGGAGAAGGTGGCATTGTGGCCAGTGCCATTGTCCTGAGAGACGTTGGCACCCAGTGGGGTGAGGGAGGAGGCACCCCTGATGCGAAGGGGCTCCAGATACCCAGCGGCCTGCATTGTAGGTAGGACTGTTGACAGTTTGTGCCCCGGGCAGGTGGGGGGTTCCTTGGAGTTGGGTGTCTGGTAAGAGGCCTCCTTGGGCTGGATTCTAGGAAAGAAAATCAATCAGAAATTTTGAGATCTGGCCTTCTGTTAGAGCACAGCCGCTCCAAGTTCTCTGGCCAAGACTGTGGGCCACTTTGCCAGGTCAAGTGCCTGGGGCCAGAGGGAGCCGGAGCCAGGTGGAGTGTGTCAGGGCCTCCCCCAGCCTCCTCCTGGTGATGCTTCAGCAGGTCAGTTCCCTCCTCCCACAGAGACAGGCTGCTGGCCACCCTCCTGGGAAGAGGAGATGTGGCTCTGCCCGTGCCCCAGCAGCCTGCACACGCACAGTCTAGGTAGAACCAAGCGATCCCTTCAAAAACACCTCCCAGCTCATCTCTGGTCCCCTTGAATCTGAAGCTCCTCCCTCCAGGGTCTTGGAGTTGGCAGCCTCCCTCCCAACCTCCTAGAGGTGCTGCAGACCCCGCTGGCCCACCTGCTCTTCTCTCTACTGACCTGGCCAGGGCTTCGAGCCCAGAGTTGGTAGCCTTGGTGTGTTCCTGGTGGTGGCCAGTACAGGCAGTTGCAGGGATGGGGGGGAGGTGTGCTCCTCACCAGCAGACCCCACCTGAGATTTCAGGAGTTTCAGGACCTGCCCTGCTGGCTGCCTCGGCCCCGGAGGCAAGGTTCCCAGCCCGGTGGCAGCGCTGATGCTGGTGAGGGAGGGAGGCGGATCCCCCACGCTGACGTGGAGCCCGGAAGGCAGGCCCCCCCTTCCCCTGAGCTGCAGTGGCGCCTGCAGTCGGCTGTCCCAGGTCTCCTCAGCACTCACTTACCCAGGCGAACTCAGTGGGCGGCTGAGGCACGTGTCTGCCTGTGGATGTGTGCGCCTGTGCGTCAGGAAGGCACTCCATGCAGGGGCCTCTGGGTGTGCCCAGGTCTTTGGGCAGAGGGTACTGAGGGCATCTGTGCCTCGTCTGGGCGTCACTGTGGCCCTGGGCACCCTTATCTGTGTACATGGGGGTCTCGGTGGGTCTTGTGGCCCACCCTGTGTAGTGAGTGTACATGGCGTGTACCTGCATGTGTGCCAGTGAGGACACATTCATGTGTGCGGGCCTGTGTCTGCCTGTACGGGGTTTCTCTGCATTGCATCTGAGTGGGCTGAGCGTGGGGGGGTCTCATGTGGAAGCACCACTTTTTGGCCATAGGCAACCCAACTTCTTTTTCTGTCTTCTTCTAAAATGAGGAGCTGAGACTCGGTAAGCTGTGAAAAGCTGCAGAGAAGACGTTGGCACCCTGAGGCGCCACTCTCACGCCGTCCTGCAAGGCGGGGAGCGTTGAGCTCTGCTCTGGGCTGGTCTCCGCGTCCTTCCCATCTCCCTGCTTTTCTTCCTTGCTGGACACACCCTGGCGCATTCCACCCGTGTGTGTGCAGCTGGGCAGCTCCTGGACGTGCTTTGCAGGCCACGCCACAGCTGATGTGGGCAGCCAGCCTGTCTCAGGGCCGCTCCTCAGCAGGGACGTGCTGGGTCAGAGGATCTCTGCGTTTTCTTTCTTTTTTTTTTTTTTTAGACAGGGTCTTGCTCTGTCACCCAGCCTGGGGTGCAGTGGCACTAGCGTGGCTCTGGGACTCTGAGCCCCTCCCAGACTCTACCTCTGCTCTCCTGAGCCTGTCCTGAGTGCTGGGCTGGCACCACAGCCAGCTGGTCTCATTGGAGGTGGGGTGGGATGATGGGAAGGATAGGGACACTGAGGGCAGTGGGATGGGGGAGGCGGCGGGTGCTGAGCTCAGGACCCGCGGTGCCAGTGGAGGTGTCGGGCCCTCCTGGCCACAAAAGCAGCATCCCCAGGTGCCTTTCCTTCCTCCCAGACCCACCTCACCTACATCCACTGCAACACCAGGGCCTGAGCCAGGGGTGCTCCCCGGTCTGTACCCCCAACCCTCAGGGCTCAGAAAGGCCCTTTGCTCTCTCCGTGGGCTGGGCATTGTTCCAGCCAACTGTGAGCTTGTGAGAGCATCCTTCTGTGGAAATAATTTCTATTTTCAGAAATAAACTGGCCTTTTCAAATGAACCAGTGAGGCCCTTTGGGTGTAGAGAGGAGAGCCCAGGGAGGGAGAGAGCCATGCTCAGCTCTGTCGGGTGGAACGGCACCGGGGGCCTGGCAGCAAGGCTGCGGACAGAGCACATCCTCTGTCTGGGGTGCTGGGGTGGGGGGGGATGGTGCCAGTCTGTGTGCATCTGAGCATTTTGTGGGCCTGTGTGTGGGGGTCTTGCAGGGACCCAGAGGAGAAGCAGCCCTACATTTATGCGTGGCTGAGCCCAAAGACATTGCACCCCAGGGCGGGGGCCAGGGAGAAGCGCCAGGACCCTGAGACAGCCCACGCGGCATCCAGGCAGAGCTGTGCCGGCTTCACTGTTGCTGCCGCTTCATGCCCTCTGCCTGCCCCTCCCTGCGCGCTGTGACTCGGTCTCCACACACGCATGCAGACATGTAGCAGGTGGAGTCACACAGACTCACAAGCGTGCATGTTGGCTGTCTCATCTCCGGCCAGGCAGGCCCTGGAGTGGTAGACTCGTCCTGCTCCCTCTCCCTCATCAGCTCTCCAAGATGAGCCTCAGCAGTGGCTGTGCCCCTGCAGGGTAAGTGCTCCCAATAGGCCTATGCCATCAAGACCAGCGAGAGGGCTGGGCGCGGTGGCTCACACTTGTAGTCCCAGCACTTTGGGAGACCAAGGTGGGCAGATTGCTTGAGCCCAGGAGTTTGAGACCAGTCTAGGCAACATGGTGAAACTGCATCTCTACAAAAAAATACAAAAGTCCGGGTGCGCTGACTCACGCCTGTAATCACAGCACTTTGGGAAGCTGAGGTGGGCGGAGCACCTGAGGTCAGGAGTTCAAGACCAGCCTGGCCAACATGGCGCAAAATCCCGTCTCTACTAAAAATACAAAAATTAGCTGGGCGTGGTGGCGGGCGCCTGTAATCCCAGCTACTCAGGAGGCTGAGGCTGAGGTTGCGGTGAGCCAAGGTCACGCCACTGCACTCCAGCCTGGGTGACAGAGCAAGACTGTCAAAAAAACCCCCAAACCCACAAAAAACCAAAGATTGGCTGGGTATGGTGGCACATGCCTGTAGTCCCAGCTACGTGGGAGGCTGAGGTGGGAGAACTGCTTGAGCCCAGGAGGTCAAGGCTGCAGTGAACTGAGATTGCGCATTGCACCCAGCCTGGGTGACAGAGTGGGACCCTGTTGCAAGAAAAAAAGCAAAAAAACAGTGAGAGGCTCAGGCCTGGCTTCCTCTAAGTAGGGAGTCGGGCAGCTTAGCTCTCTCCAAAGAGACAAGCAGCTCAGGGCCAGTTTCCCTCAGAGTGGGAGGTGAATTCTCCAAGGAAGCCAAGAGAAAACGCACTTTATTTGTAAAACTGGGAAGGGACCATCTCTTGTTTAGATTCAGGGTTTTCTGCCATGGGCACCTGCCGCCTCTCTTCCCCTCCAGTCAGCACTGAACTGTCCCTAGGGGAGGTCATGGCTTGGGGTCCTAGTTAGTCCCTTACCCGTCTGTGCAGACAGGGCCACAGACATGGGCACCTTAGCTGAGGGCAGCAGATTGGGTCCTTCTCAGCCGCCTCCCAAATACCCGACCCTGAGGCCCCGAGTCGTTTGTGGACGGCACAGATACTTGTGTGGGAGGACTGCAGTGAGCAAAGGGAACAATTCCTGCTCTCACGGGACTGGCCCTCTGGTGGGGGAGGCAGGCGGTGGATGAAATGGGGCCAGGTCCTAAGACCAGAGGTTCTGGAGGTGACAGCTGGGGGAGCAGAGGCCTGAGCAGGCTGGGAAGACGCCATTGCAGGGGTCCTGCCCTAGGGGCCTGTGGGAGCCAGGAAGCCGGAGGTCAGGATGGCGTGTGGGTCTGGCTGCCCATGGCAGCCCTGCCCTGACCACGGCCTTTGGCAGCAGGGGCTTGCAGGGCTCCCTCTCTTCTCTGAGCCTCATCTGCTGAAGCTGTGCCTGCCCTCCCCACAGCCTCCTGCTGCCCCAGGCACGTGTAGGCAGCAGGCTCAAGGAGGCTGGTACAAAGCTCCCGTCGTGACTGAAACACGCAAACAGGAAGGAGGGCGACTGCTCCCTAGGGCCCAGGCCTGTCTCCTCTTGGGGCTGGGAGGGTTGTTTAAATCAATTACCAAAGCGCTTGCAGCCTCCTGCTCACCCACAAAGGCCCCAATCCAAGCACAGGAGGGCGGCCCCCAGGACAGTGTTCCCCAGTGGGGACTGCTCCCTGCTCTCCTTGCTCTGGCCAGTCCAAGACCCCAATAACCAGGAATAGGCCTGGAAAGGGCCTCGCCCTGTGCTCAGGAGCCTCCAGGTGCTCTCTCAAAGCTCAATCCCAGAGGGCTTCACTGAGGAGATGTCACTGTGCCTGTCTTCGGGGGCATGTTCCTGGGTGATCTCAATGTGGCTGGAGATGTAGGAGAGGGCTGGAGGGGGTCCCATCCTGTCCTCAGGGCTGGGAGCAGCTGCGGCCTCCTGGAGATCGTGGGCAGGGTGGGCAGGCAGGTGCAGGCACCTTTGAGTCTCTGGGGGAGGGGTTGCTCAGGCATGTCAGTGCCTGTGGACACACATCTGGGTTGGCGGGAGTGTCTGTCTGTCCTGTGACACCCTTCACTGGTGCCTGCAGCGGCAGAGCCCCCAGAGCTCCCAAAGAGGGCCCAGGAATGTCCAAGACCTGATGGGAATGACCATATGTCTGGCTTTCTTGTCAGGCCATGAATTCTTGCTGAAGTATCCTTCAGTCGGAAAGGCTGATCCATGCCCAAATCTGGAGGCTTTTGATGCCCCGTTGGCTCCTGGCCTGGAGAACCTGCAGGCTGGCAGTCTGTGCCCCTCCACAGGGGCTCATGCCCACATGGCTGGTTTTGAGGTGGTCTTGAGGTTGTCATGGCAGCTGGGGGTAGGGGCCTGGGGAGTGGGGCCTGCAGCTCTGGGATGCTCCAGGGGCCAGACCTGGTGACCTTGGACCAGGCTCTCCATTGTGGGCAGATGAGGAGGGGCGGGAAGGCTGTAGGAGAAAGGCTCCCGCCTTCTGGATCCCTCACCTTGGGGACTTCCATACAGGGGGCAACAGACCCAGGCTGGCAGCTAGTATGGTTGGAATGATGGGCCCCGTTGGGGGCGTGGGAGCTTCTGGCCTTGCCCATTCCCTTCCCCTTCT